CATTTTACAGATGTAATTTTTTAAGAAAATTTATGTGTTTTTTTCTAATATATGTATGATTCTTAGTCTACTTGAATATAATGTTTGATTCATTATATAGTTCTAAATGATCTTTAAAATTTTAATGTGATGTCTGCAAAAAATAAATTAATAGGTTTAGTTTAAGTGAAACTATTAGTTTCAGTGAAACTAAACTACCATATCTAAACCAATCTGGCTGTAAGAAAATAACCTATTTTTTTTTGTAATCTCTTATTCTTCTTCTGATAAAGTACATTCTTTTTATTTTTTTCTAACCCAGTTTGTCTGGAGTTACTGAGTCTCATTGTTTTAAAAAATGTTGTTCTTTGCATGTTAATTACAGTGTTTTAAAATATATTATATTAATTAATCTTAAAAGTTATAAAATGTTCCATCAGTTCGACAAATTTTTAAAGTTTGTCTTCTCATATATAAAAAGATAAAACAAAATGACGGCGACTTTAATATTAAAGTTTACTTAATATTGTTATGCTAAATACATAGCACTTAAATTTACACATTTTCAAACACGAATTATACTTTCACTCTTCTATTATATAAGATTATTTTTAAGTTTTGAACTTCATATAAAATAATTAGTTTATTAAACGATTCAAAATGATTAATTAACAAATATAAATTATATAAAAACAATTTTAAAAAATAACATCCTTTCTCCCGCGCGTTTACGCGCGGGGTGGTTTCCTAGTTTATTAAATAACAATGATCATTTAAATTTCACACTCTGCGTGAAGTTGTAGTTGTGTTGAAATTAGTTTTAATCCTCTTTTGAACCTAAAAGCTTTGTAGTTGTGGTATCTATGGAACTTTTTAAACGTTTGGCTATATCTACACTTTGATTATCAAGGACCTATCGTTCCATTTATTATTACTAATGATATTTGCATTTTTTTAATAAAAATAGATGATATTTTGAGTATTTTATTAATTTAAGTGAAAACCTAAATATCGTCCAATTTACATATCCCCTCAGTTTCTTAGCATATTAACAAATCTTCCGGCCAAGGGTAGCATACTAGCAGGACATGCTAATTTATAAATATTTGTTACTACTAATGTTACTTTTTGCGAAAACACTATATTGTAATTTGTAATTACTATTCAGATAATCTTCCTGGCTTATCTCTAGATTATTTAGAATAATAGAATAATCTTTTTAGTCAGCAAGAATATACCTTTTTTATATATATAAACTCATTAATATAATGAGATAATTAAACATTGCTTTAATATTTTTATTATTTTATTGAATATGTCGGCAAAGTATATTACGGCTAATCACCCAATTAACTCCTTTCAGTTAAGACATTTTAAAGACCGAAAGAGTCCGAACCATATAAAATTTCATCAGAACTTCAACTCTGATCGCAGCAATTATTCTTATAGTATTTATGGTTTGATGAACATATGTAGTGGATTCTTTCACATATCAACTTGGATACCATGACTTCTGTATCTCCATTTAAACGCTGTAATGGAGGTTTATCTTGAGTATCAAAATGCCATAAAAAATCCCTGATATTGGATCAATCTTCTCAATGAGTATTAAAATGTTATACTCTTTTGACAGAATGTTAAGATATTACAAGTTATTAGTTACTAGTGATTTAACTATGTTTAATCAGCAGACTACTGTTGTAGATATGTTTAAAATATGCTTATCATACACAAAACCAGCTAATTCTGTCAGATATGTAATAAAGCTAATTAAACACATCTAAAAACAACAATAATCAAGTACAATTTTTACAAAAAAAATATTCTTCAATACGAAATCCACGTCTAAAAGTAATCATTATTTGACAGTACATTTATTATAAAAGTTTCTAAGCTATACAAAGTGTTATAAATACTACTATTACTAAGAAATTGTAAATTCTGTTTACATATAAACATTAATACATATTGGTATATAGTATTTTATGCAAATATGTTATATCATACTATATGTTCTAATCACGCTAGGATCAGTATGCATGCTGCAAACAATCATGCACGGAGTAGTAAGAGTCGATGAAAATGAAAATTTTAAAAAGTTTCAAGCTCTATTTATTACTATAAACGAATAATTAGGGTATCATCAAACAACTGGAAAATTAAGTTTTTAATGTGACAGATAATTAAGATCAATGATTAATAATACGGGATCTGATAAAAGGCAAAGCGAATAGGGAACATGCCGCGTAGTCATCATTCAGATATGTGGGCTCCAACATAGCATGTACCACAAATATTTATAAAATACAGTTAAAGAAAAATATAGGCACAAAGAATATAATTAGTATTTGGAAGGTGTATTTAATGTAAATTCACTCCATTCCAACTCTATTGTTCTGCAAACCACTGATTACTATTTTTTCTTCAATAAATAAAAAAGTATTTCCTATTTTTTATTTTATAACTAAAATTACTATTGTAAAGGATTACTTTATAGTTAAATTTCACTTCAATTATAGAATTTATCTATGTTATATACAAATATATATATTGGAGAGAGTTTTAAAATATATTTTGATGATTAGTATCTCCTCGTCGATCAATTCTTAGTCGCCAACAGTATCCATATAATAAGTGAACATAAAACAAATAAACTCTATAAGTTAACGATATCAAAAATATTGTTTTATTAATCTATTACGAATTTAATCATGTCGAAAACTAACTTTTAAGTTATTAAATTATTAATTTGAAGTATAATTTTATAGAGGCAAAGTTACATATCATTAATATCTAATGAAAATAATGCATTTTATACATGTTATAAATAGTCATGTAGCTGTATTTAAGAAATAAACATTAGTAAAAAAATAGATATTCAAAGTCTTATTAGTGTAAAATATTATATCAAATCTTATTACGATAGTTAAATCAGAAAATAAACAGGTGATTCGTTTAATGTTGGACAGATGACTATTACTTTTCCAGTTGTTAGATAAAGTAGTACTATTTGTTTGGTTAATCCATATAATAAATTTCGTAAATGCAACAGATGACATCAAAAATTATTACATCACATTTTATCTCCTAGATGTGTTACAGTGTACTTGTTCTGTTACAATGTATTTGATTGTCAGAAATCTATATTTTTTTATTGTTGACAAAAAAAAAATATATATATATATATTAGATATTATTTGTTTCCACACCCTAAATGACCTCTCTAATTTATTGATTATTCATGATTTGATATTAAATAATGACTATTTTGTCATTTTTACATGCATGTGACACTTTCTCTTCTGATACTCTCTTTTCTCATAGAATTAACAATCTCTCTTTCTCTTTCCTTTGATTCTTCTTCTTTCTCATTTTCAAACTCTTTTAACATGTTAATGCATTCTATTTTTTGTGTAAAAAATTATTCTTGCGAAGAAAACTTATTATTATTTTACTACTATTCCTATGAATCTAAATTATTTTAATTACACCATATTCTGAGAAAATCAGCACTGAGGCTTTTTTAAAACCGCTGAAGATGTTAACACTGGTGTTAGCTGTTAACAAATAATGTAGATGTCAACAAATGTGTTAACTATTAACAAATACATGTCTCAGATGTATTAACAGAGGCATTAACTGTTAACAAAATTTGTAAATGTTAACAAATGTGTTAGCTGTTAACAAAGACATGTATTATAAGTGTTAACATAGATGTTAGTTGTTAATAAATTTTGTAGATTGTATACATGCGTTAGGTATTACATGTTAACAAACAAATATTGTTGAAATTTCATTTCTCTATTAAAATGAGTAAATTTAAAAATAATTTATGTGAAAAATAAAAAAATGAATGTGAAAAAGAGGTCTGTGAAAAATATGTGTGGTTTAAAGCAAATAGATGAAGAATAGTTAGAGAGAAAGTACAGATATTCACTTGAAAAAGAGAAGGTGAGAAAGGCAAAATCGTACAACCAAACCTAAAATGTGTAAAACTTTACATTTATGTCAAATCAGGGTAAGATCACTAATAAGTGATCCAAATATTAGTATTTCCCTAATTCACTCTATATTTTATCATTAAATAAATGATATTTCATACTATGTATATAAAAGTATAATGTATTTAATATATGTGACTAATTACAGAATAATACATTTTTATTGGTTAAATTAATTTTACTAATAATATTTTATGTAACCTAAATAAATATTATAAAATTGGCATCTTCCTCAATGTGCGCCTAAATTAATATTAAACATCAAGTGAAATGAAAAGTATATGATAGTAACTGACAACCATTAAAGAAAAGAAAAAGAAGGCCAACCTTAATCCTCCTAGCCACGAGTGATCACAAAAGATCCTAGAATGATAAACAAGTACTTATATGTCTTATTTATTACAACTAAACATGTTCGTGTGTGTTAATTAAATTAATTAACGGAAACAAATAAGAAAATGTTTCAAGGAGGTTAAATAAGGCAAACGGTCGGTGACAAAAAGATTCGTGTCCTCTTCAGAAAACTCTATTCCCCTTCTTCGGACAATCCATCTTCTTCTTCTTCTTCTTCCCAACTGTCTCTTTGCTTCACATCTTTCAATACAACCTTTTTGATCCTTCCTTTAAAAACAATCCATCTCTTGTACTTTCTTTTAAGTCCTTTTTTGATTTGGTCTCGTCACCGTAAAGATACTTCACATATAGTTTAGTTGAATGGTCTCTGTGTCTGGTCTCTCCACCACTGCTTCTTCTCCGGGATATGTTTGTTCCCATTTCGAAGAAACCAAGTGAACACGAACCATCCCACGTATGCAAATTCTTTATTTTATTTAGTTTCTTGTGATCGATGAATGTTTAACCTTTTCCATCTAGTGTTGAACTCAGTTTCTTGAACTCTGTGATTGCTTATTGTGTAAACTTCTCTTTTTTATATATAATATTATTTTTATAAATTGTTATAAATACAAAGCCATTGTAGGTTGCTTGGTTGGAAGCAAAACTTGCAGTTGTGGTCCTTGTAGACATTCCTCTTTTTGAGAGAAAAATAAATAAACTTAAAAGCAGCATTGTTCTTTAAGTTGGGTTGTTTCATTGTCTGAACAAGACAACAATGGATCACTTGTCTCAAGAGGAAGATTTGCACTTCTTCAATGCATCATCTCCAAGTGGTTTTGATTTTGATCCTGGAAGTGTTGTGGAGCGGAGGAGGAAGTTCTTGGAGTGGATGGGAGTAGAACAAGTTCTTGTTCAATCCAAGAACTCAGATGATGAGTCTGTTGAAGCTGCTGAGCAGAGATCTGAAGGATACAGTTTCTCTTCTACTCAGGTATCTTCCTCTGGTTCAAGTGAGGAATTGTCTCCGAGAGTGGATAAACATGTCGGTGGATGTGATGTGACGAGAATGCAAAGCTCTTCAATGACATCATGTTCTGATTCCAGATGTTGTCAGGTGAAGGAAACCGAGAAGCAGAGGAACCTCACCAGTTTCAAGAAGGGATGGTTAACAAGGCTACGGTCTATGAGATGTTCCGCGGATACAAAGATCGAATCATGTAGTGGGATCAAAGATTCTTCTTGTGGCTATGGTGGTGTGCTTTCAAGAGTTAAGGTCAAGCATTACAAGAAACAAACCAAAGAGCTTTCAGCTCTTTATCATAGTCAAGATATTAAAGCACACAATGGTTCCATTTCGGCTATGAAATTTAGCTGCGATGGGAAGTATCTTGCAAGCTCTGGTGAAGATGGGATCGTACGTGTGTGGGAAGTCATAGAGGATAAAAGATCTAAACTACAAAGAGATTACCTAAACCCTTCGTGTATGTACTTTGAGCTAAACGATCTTTCCCAGTTGAAACCGAACAAGACCAGAGAAAGTTTCAAGAAAACATCTGATTCGGCTTGTGTTGTCTTCCCTCCTAAAGTTTTCCGGATAATGGAGAAACCTTTGCATGAGTTCCGAGGCCACACATGTGAAGTCTTGGACATCTCATGGTCAAAGGATAATGTAAGCTTTCTAAAATCTTTGCAACGATTACTTTTGATGCAAGTAACAAAAAAAACTGACATGTATTCTGTAATTTCTTGTTGTAGTATCTTCTCTCTGCTTCAATGGATAAAACTGTTCGGTTATGGAAAGTTGGTAGCAATTCTTGTCTTGGAGTTTTCACTCACAATAGTTATGGTATGTGGTTACTTTTATTACATCTTACTATCTTAGTTACTACTTTGATCTGACATTCATTACCGGATTTGGGTCAATCCTAATGAAAAATTAGTTTTGGCTCCAAATCTTTAGACATTTTTTACATAGTTTAGGCTCTTAAAAATATTAAAAAAATAATTTTTCTTACAAAGATTCTTAAGAAATGTCTACATCCCCCAAATTTTTAGATTCAGCCCAGCTGACATTGTCTTTTTTTTTTTTTTTGGCAGTAACTTGTGTTCAGTTCAACCCGGTTAATGAGAACTACTTCATGAGTGGTTCAGTTGATGGAAAAGTTAGAATATGGAACATTTCTGGTTGCAACGTTGTTGATTGGGCTGATCTCAAAGACATTATATCAGCAGTGTGTTATCGTCCGGATGGACAGGGAGGAGTTGTTGGTTCTCTGACCGGAAGTTGCAGATTCTTTAACATGTCTGGAGAGTATTTAGAGCTGGACTCTCAGATACATTTTCATAACAAAAACAAGTCTACAAATAAAAGAATAACTAGTTTCCAGGTAATAATCACATTTACATTACTTCTCTTTGTCCTTGTGACATGTTAACAAATAGTATTCATGTTTCTTTTGTTCTTCTTCCAGTTTTTACATCAAGACTCTACCAAAGTCTTGGTTGTTTCCGCAGATTCCAAAGTCAGAATACTCCAAGGAAACGATGTTGTTAGAAGATACAAAGGTATGTTGCTTCTTATGTTGGTACCTTCCCACTTTCATTTTGTTTTGCATATTTATATCTGTTTGGTTGATTCTAAACTAATCTCATCTCTGTTTCTTTTTGTCTTTGCCTCACATCAGAGTCTTCTACATCTGATGGAAAGCACATTGTTTCAGCTTGTGGGGACTCCAATGTATATATATGGAACAATGAGGAGGCATCAGATTCTTCTTCTTTTTCTCAAACCAAAAGGATTCGATCTTTTGAACGTTTCTCCACCAATGCATCAGTTGCAGCAACCTGGTGTGGATTCTCAGACCACAACAAAACGATCCCGTTTTTTTCACCAGCTTGCTTGTCTCTCAAGGAAGGGTTTGTCACTGGATCAGTTCCCAAGGGAAACGCGACGTGGCCAGAGGAAAACCTACCCGAAAATCCGCTCTCTTCGATGACAGCGTCTCAGTACAAATTTCTCAAGTCCTCATACCAGAGAGCTACTAGTAGCTCTCTAGCTTGGGGTATGGTCATTGTCACAGGTGGTTGGGACGGACGAATCAGAACATTTCAGAACTACGGCTTGCCTGTGAACGTAACTTGAAGAGTCACAAGCACATGGTTCCAATGGCTCAAAATACTATTTTAGTCGTAAAGACAATCATCCTGTAGAAAAATATAACAAGAAGGGTCAGTGAGAGACTTCATCGGTTGATGTAGGCGCAGAGAAACAGGTGTTTCTTCTTTTTTTTTGGCACTAAGTGTCGGTTTGAGATAGTTTCAAAAGAGTACGGATTTGTCTGAAAATCCTTGACAAGTGGTTGGTTTGTAGGCTGTAGGAGAAAGATAAAAGGTTCTTACTGTAGTGACAGATTTTGTCGTGTCTAACGGTGTTGTTTTTGAGTTATATCAGTTTATTTTGGATTTCATTTCCACTTGTGTCAGTGTGTGTGGTGATGAGTCATGAGAGAAGCAAAGAATCAATTGATTGTTAGACAGAGGCTCCGGAGTTTGTAAAATTATACAGCAGAAACTTTTTTTTTAGATTGATATGATCAAATTAGTATATATAATTTTCTTGAACTCATCCCTTCTAAAACTAACAAATTAGATAATCGTTCTGTAAACGGGAGATAGACGACTCAAATTGCAATAGTATTGGTTTTGTAAGAATGTAAGCAGAAAGATCTTTGATTGCAGTGTAATCAATAGGCCATTGCGTTATTCCACTATAGTGGTGGGATGTATTGTATAGCTAAATCGTGGTGTAAGTAATCTGGCCAAGTAATTGATCAAACAAACTACATAAATCCTAGTTCAAATAAAAAAGTACATAAATCACTTTATTATATAAATTTTGATTTCTTATTTATTTTTTAACTGAACTATAAATATTTATGAAAATGATGTGTATAGCAAAAGCGCATCTGGTGTAGTGGTATCATAGTACCCTCCCACGGTACTGACCAGGGTTCGATTCCCTGGATGCGCATTTTTCAATCTGATCTGCATTTTTGTTTTATATTTTGCTTCCTGACCAAGAGCGCAGACCGTTAGTACGATCGCTATGTTTCTCCAATTTATTGTCAGTACATATATATGTTTGAGCTCTCATCACTAAATAAATTAGTGTATGCAATTTGGTGAAACGTCCAACTATTTGGTTAGAAATCATCATCTCTATATTCGAATGTACCGAACACTAAGATTTTAACATTTATAAGTAAGTGAACTTTGACTATTTTAAAAACATTTATAATTAAGTGAACTTTTAGTATTACTGGCCTTCTCATAGAACTACATTTTTACTTTTATTGAAACTCCTCTAGTTGTGTTAAACAAAAAAAATAAAAAATAGCAGTAGCACTCCCTTTGTCAATAAAATAAGATAGTAATAGCAACCCTGGGAGATTCTAGTTCTGAAATTCTCAAAATTACATATATGTATATATTATAAACTAGTCCTCCTTTAACAAGCAATTTGTATAAAAATAACACAGTTATATACCACAAAATCGAAACATCAGCAAAAGCAATCAGTTTCCATACTTTTCATAATTGCTTAGATCACACTATAAGAACTTGAAAATAACAGAGAAAAAGATTGGAACCAGGAACTATGCATATTACCATTCCTTATGTTCAAATCCAAAGCAGTCTAAAAACAAAAGAACTTCAATTCCAAAAGCATTAACAAAATAAAGCTAAGGAAACTCTACCAAGAAAAAATGTAGTTCATATTCATTATTACTATATGAACGATAATAAACAAAAGACAAAAGCAACCTAATAAGCTTTTTGCTTCAGATTCAAGGCTTTTCGTCCTAGTGTTGGTGCTTCATCTCGTTGACATTTTGTTCCACAGTTGCTCCAACTAGGTCATCGTCACTGAGGAACTTGTCCACCTGAGACGCAGCTTGACGCCCTTCAGAGATAGCCCACACTACCAAAGACTGCCCTCTCCGACAATCACCCGCTGCAAAAACACCTTCCACAGTTGTGGAGAACCTGCCATACTCCGCCTTAAAGTTCGACCTGTTGTCGCATTCTAGTCCTAGCTTCTCAGCAAGTGTCTGCAAAAACAAGCGCAAACCAATGGTTTCAACGTCCAATCATATCATAGCCAACAATGTAAGAGAGTTAATAATAGGGTATAAAATGAATCACTTACCGGCTCAGGGCCAAGGAATCCCATGGCCAAGAAAACAAGATCCGCTTCAATTATTTCCTCAGAGCCTTCAATCTCCTTGAAGGAGAACCTTCCTGTTTCATCCTTCTCCCAACTCACACGCACAATCTCAAGCCCTTTCACGTTTCCATTGTCATCTCCTATGAACCGCTTGGTCAAGACTTCGTAGGTTCTAGGGTCTTTACCAAATTTGGTGGCAGCTTCTTGATGTCCGTAGTCAATGCGGAACACACGAGGCCACTGTATTAACAATAATACAAAGGTACTTAGTCAATATTTATTTAAACTAATGATTCACAAATCTAATTGGGTAAGATAACTGAAACAGACCTGTGGCCAAGGGTTTCCAGGAGCTCTCGTTGAAGGTGGCTGAGGAAGAAGCTCTAGGTTTACAATGTTGGTGCAACCATGACGGATAGATGTTCCAATACAATCAGTTCCGGTATCACCTCCACCAATGACGACAACTTTTTTACCCTTGGCGGAAATGTAATTGCCATCTTCAAGATTGCTATCAAGCAGACTCTTGGTGTTTGCATGAAGAAACTCCATAGCAAAATGAACACCTGAAAGATCACGTCCAGGCACTGGAAGATCTCTGTAAACATAACACAAATGAATCATTCATTATAAACTGTTTTAAATTCTAGTAATGGTGAGAATTTACTATGGTTTAGTACAAATTATTACCTTGGTTTTGTGGAGCCAACAGCAAGAACGATTGCATCATTCTCCTCCTTGAGTCCATCAAGAGAATAAGCTGGGTCTTTTCCAATGTTAGCATTGACCACAAAGTTGATACCTTCTTTGGTCATAAGATCAACTCTGCGTTGAACTATGTCAATTTTGTCAGTCTTCATGTTTGGTACTCCATACATCATAAGTCCACCGATTCTATCAGCACGTTCATAGACCGTTACAGAGTGCCCCATTTTGTTCAGTTGGTCGGCAGCAGCGAGTCCAGCCGGACCACTTCCGATAATAGCAACTTTTTTCCTGCAAAAAAAGTAAACGAGGCATGTTAATCCACATGGGGAAATAAGGTAAGCTTGCTAATAGAATAGACTCAAAAGTATACCCTGTTCTGGTGAGAGGAGGTCTTGGTACCATCCACCCTTCCTCAAAGGCTTTATCTATGATAGCACACTCGATACTTTTGATAGAAACGGGGTTCTCAATTATACCAAGAACACATGAACCTTCACATGGTGCAGGACATACTCGCCCAGTAAATTCAGGGAAGTTATTTGTCTCAAGTAGACGATTCAAAGCTTCTTGCCATCTGTTTTGGTATACAAGTTCATTGAACTCAGGAATCTTGTTACCTAAGGGACACCCAGAGTTCTCCTATAATAATAATAAAAAAAGAGGAACAGGTTAATCATATCATTTATGTAATAAAAAGACAATGTAACATCTGAGAAATATATACCTGGTGACAGAATGGAGTTCCACAGTCCATACAACGAGCAGACTGAGTCTTGAGAAGCGGTCCAGGTTTTGATTCCTCCATGACTTCGTTCCAGTCATTAAGGCGAACACTGGGTTCTCTGTACTTCACTCCCTCACGCTCATAAGCGATGAAACCACGGTGTTTAACAGCATTATCTACTAGAGATGGTTTCTTCGGAGATTCAGTGGCCACTCCGTTTCCAGACACAACCTCTTTTGAAGATACAGCTGAAGCCATGTTCTTCAGCTCGGTAAAGGCATCCTTCTCCTCAAGTTCTTTTTCTTCCATCTCGTCAGCTTCTTCAGCAGCACGATCAATGGCCTGCTTGGACACCTCCTCGTCTTTCATGGCTGCCAAAACACGTTTGTAATCTCTAGGGAAAACCTTGATGAACTTGGGCAGCAAATTCTCAAAGTCTGCGAGAACTTCTTGTGCAAGTTGGCTGTTTGTGTGTCGTTGATGCTGCTGGATCATCATTTTGAGCGTCATCTTGTCTTCCTCATCTTCAACTTTATCCAGATCAACGAGTTCTAGGTTGCATCTCGTGTGAAACTTTCCATCCACGTCAAGGACATAAGCAATACCACCACTCATACCAGCAGCAAAGTTTCTCCCAGTCTTCCCAAGCACCACAACAGTACCACCAGTCATGTACTCACAACCGTGATCACCAACACCTTCCACAACAGCTTTAGCACCAGAGTTACGAACAGAGAATCTTTCAGCCGCCATCCCATTAAAGTAGGCTTCACCACTAGTGGCACCGTAAAGTGCCACGTTACCAATAACAATGTTCTCCTTTGGATCAAAGCTGCTTCCCTTTGGAGGGTAGACAACAACTTTACCTCCGGAGAGACCTTTTCCTACATAGTCGTTGCTATCACCCTCAAGCTCTAGCGTAATACCAGGGCACAAGAAAGCTCCAAGACTCTGTCCAGCACTTCCTGAGAACTTGATATGGATTGTATCCTTTGGTAACCCAGCCAAGTGGTAGCGTTTGGTAACCTCATGGCTCAGCATTGTCCCAACAGCACGGTTAACGTTGCAGATTGGAGTTTCAATGTACACCGGAAGAGACTTCTCTAGAGCAGATTTGGACAATGCAATAAGCTCTTGATCCAAAGCCATGTCTAAGCCGTGATCTTGTTTCTGGACACAGTATTGAGCAGCACCGGGACGAATCTCAGCGGCGGGTCTGAGCAAAAGTGAGAGATCAATGTTCTTTAGCTTGTCATTGTTCTTGACAACTTCCCTGTCTAGTTCAAGCATATCTGCACGACCAATCATTTCAGTTAGAGTTCGGAAACCAAGTCCAGACATGATCTCTCTGACTTCCTCAGCAAGCATGAAGAAGAAGTTGATTACATGCTCAGGCTCCCCAGCAAACTTCTCACGGAGAACTGGATCTTGTGTAGCGATTCCTACAGGGCAGGTGTTCTTGTGGCACTTCCTCATCATGATACACCCGAGTGTAATAAGAGGAGCAGTACTGAAACCAAACTCTTCTGCACCGAGAAGAGCAGCAACCGCAACATCTCTGCCGGTTTTCAGTTGCCCATCTGTCTGAAGAACAGTACGGCCACGAAGGTCATTAGCAACAAGGGTTTGGTGTGTCTCTGCTAGACCTAGCTCCCACGGAAGACCAGCGTTTTTAATACCAGTCCAACGAGAGGCACCAGTACCACCATCATGACCTGCTATCAGAACATGGTCGGCGTGGCCCTTCACCACACCACTAGCAATAACTCCAACACCAGCTTCCGACACAAGTTTAACACTAATACGAGCACCAGGATTGGCATTCTACACGAGATAAAAGCAAAAACAAACGTTAACAAAAATCAAACTAGTAAAACAGAGTCAATGCTTAGTAATGTAAGAATTTAGAAAGCATAAATGGGTACCTTAAGATCGTGAATTAGCTGGGCAAGATCTTCAATAGAGTAGATGTCATGATGAGGAGGTGGACTAATAAGCCCCACACCAGCGGTGGAATTCCTGGTGATGGCTATGTCTCCTATAACCTTGTGGCCTGGTAGCTCCCCACCTTCCCCAGGTTTGGCTCCCTGCATGACATTAAAGAAAGTAGTTAGGAACTTCAGGACTTGGTAACATTACATTATCTGCAACGAAAAGACAATAAAAATTAAAAAAAAAATGTGAAATTACCTGAGCCATTTTAATCTGCAGCTCGTCAGCGTTAGTAAGATAGTAGCTCGAAACACCAAATCTTCCACTAGCAATTTGTTTGATGGAACTTCTTTTAGGGTTTCTTGAACCATCTGGAAGAGGCTCCATACGAGATGGCAGTTCTCCTCCCTCACCTTAAGCAGATTATAAGATGATGTGTTATTTGGTTTTAAAAACAAGAATAAGGGAAATGCAAAATTTATGAAACAAAAAAAATAATACCTGTATTTGACTTTCCTCCAAGTTTATTCATAGCCATTGCAAGGGTTTGATGTGCCTCAAGTGAAATTGATCCATAACTCATAGCGCCAGTGCAGAACCTCTTAACAATTTCACTAGCAGGCTCCACTTCATCTAATGGAATTTTGACATCTCCTTCTTTGAACTTCATGAGCCCACGCAAGTTACTCTGTTTGTTCAACTCATTGATACGCTTTGAGTATTCCTTGTAGGCAGCCACACTGTTAGTCCTTGCTGCCTCTTGCAACTTAGCAATTGCGAGAGGGTCATTAAGATGAATCTCCCCGTTTTTCCTCCAGTGATAGTTCCCAGGGTTAGAGAGTGCTGAAGCTTCTGCACTTCCAGGTGCATATGCACGTGCTGGGAAGGCCATCTCATGCAAAAGAAGCGCATCCTTTGCAAGCATCTCAAATGTAGCTCCTTCAACTCTGCTTGGGGTACCAGCAAAACACTTCTCAATGACTTCAGAGGAAAGCCCAAGAGCTTCAAAGATCTGAGCACCCTTGTATGAGGCCAAGGTAGAAATTCCCATTTTGGCAAGAACCTTCATCATCCCGTAGTTGCTTGCCTTGTAATACTTCTTGACAAGCTCTTCTTTGGAGTGGAATTCACCGTTTGATTTAGGTGGTATCTTGCCATCAACCTGTAATCTATGGACAGTCTCTACAGCCAGATATGGGCAGATAGCATCTGCTCCGAACCCGACAAGTGTACAGAAATGATGCACTTCACGTGGCTCAGCGGACTCTACTATCAAACCAACTTGAGTGCGTGCAAGGCTCTTAACAAGGTGGTGATGAACAGCACCAACAGCCAAGAGAGAGCTCACAGCAACACGCGTTGAAGAGAAAGCTACATATTCAAGACATTTTAAAAAGTAAGCACATGATAAAGAACAAGGTGCAAATTGTAAGTTTATAAATGATTACCTCGATCAGACAAAACCAGTAGTGTGTATCCCTCCTTGATAGCTTCATTTGCTTCATCACAAATTCGATCTAAGGTCATCTCCAACCCTTTTGTCCCTTCTTCTTTTGGATAAGTTATGTCAAGAACTTTAGTCCTCCAGCCTCTGTAGTTCATTTTCTTGACAGATTCCATCTCTTCAATGGTCAAAAGAGGACCTTTCAGGGAGAGACGGTGACATTGCTCCTCAGTTGTTTCGGTTAGATCACCTTCTGGACCGATCATGCACTCCATAGAAGTAACAATCTTCTCACGGATAGGATCGATCGGAGGATTTGTGACTTGAGCAAACATTTGCTTGAAGTACTCAAAACATAATTTCTCCCTGTTTGACATAACAGCTAGAGGGGCATCGTTTCCCATAGAACCAAGTGCTTCAGTGCCGTCTTTAGCCATTGGAAGCAGCAGCATTTCTAAGGCCTCAACTGTATAGCTGCATGCATAGGTCATAAAAGCTTGAGAAAATAAAAAGCAGTAGAGTAATACACTAAACAAGAATATAAATAAACATACCCAAAGGCTTTTAGCGGAGACAGTAAACCATGAATGCCCATGCTCTCCATTGAGTCATCATCATTAGACGTCTAAGTTTCAAGGACAAAGGTTAGCTTACCATAGTAAAGGAACTGTAAGTTTGATTATAAAAGGATTAGTTTAGTGTTAGCTTACCAGTACAGCCCCAGAAATTGGTGGAGCTATACGTTCAGTCTCAGGAACTGACTTAATGATGTCTTTGAGTTCAATCTTTTGCCTTTCTAGCCATTCGCCATAGGGCCTTGCCTGGGAATACTGTTGCTTCAAGGCATCGTCATCAACAACGATATGCTTCTCAAAATCAACAAGAAGCATCATGCCTGGGTTAAGTCTTCCTTTCCTCATCACATCTTCTGGTGGTACATCCACTACCCCAACTTCACTAGCCATGATGACCCTTCCACTGTGGGTTATGTAGAACCTACCAGGACGAAGCCCGTTACGGTCCAATGTGGCACCCAAGTAGCGACCATCAGTAACTGCAAATCATTTCATAGAGTTACATCAAATCTAAAGACCACATGCCAAAGGGTTTGATAAATTATGTACAGCATTAAAATAGTTATTACATGATATGAGAGCAGGTCCATCCCATGGCTCCATTAGCGCAGATAAGTATTCATAGAAGGACTTTCTGCTTGGATCAATGTTTTTGTCATTCTGCCATGCTTCAGGAATCATCATCATGACAGCTTCAGGAAGGCTTCTGCCAGCTCGGACAAGAAGCTCAAGAACACCATCAAAAGCACCTATTAAAAAGGTTAACAAGACAATACAAAAACATGTCAGAAGACCTTCTAAGCAGGCTTTGATCTACATGTCAGAAGACCATGACAGTTACCTGAGTCAGAAGAGCTAACATCCACAATAGGTAGAAGCTTCTTCAACTCCTGCTTTGATAGTCCAAGTTCCTTGCACTTGAGCAGACCCTCACGTGCCCTCATCCTGTGTGGAACAAAAATTCACAAAAGAGTAAACAATCATACCAAAGATTGAGAAACCGTAAATTAAACAGGTACTTGCATACAAGAAAGCATTTGACAAGCCAGGACTTATATAACTATGGCACCAAAACAGTTATTTACATGAAAGATTTTAACATCTGCTATATATTACATACCAGTTCACGTTTCCCCTAAGCGTATTAATCTCTCCGTTGTGGCCCAAAACACGCATTGGCTGAGCACGATCCCAGCTTGGAAATGTATTGGTAGAGAACCGAGAGTGGACCTGAAAATTAACAAAACATAAAACCGAGCTAATCAGTTTTTAGTTATCAATTAACGTAAAATGTGTATGTATGCAACTGAAAACTTTACCACTTTGTCTTAGACACAACTTCACAGCACCTAGTGGGGGATCATGTTCTAATTTTGCAGAATTGCTAACTACCTTTACCAACAAAATTTTAGACTTAAATCACGGACATTGTGATAATTCAACCTAAGATGGTACATATCAAGGCAACAGGGACTCGCAAGACGTATCTGATATACCAACTCACCAGCATCCAAAATTAAAATACTTATAAAGGGTTTGGAGGAACTTAAGAGTCATTCAAAGTTGCAATGCCTCGAAAGTCAATCCGCAACCTCGCATCTCCTTGGTTACCCCCGTTTGGTTCCCATGCTGTTTGTGGAGCATGGAGTCAGCATAAAATGAAGAGATTGTGAATAGAATATTTATTTACCAGGGCCATGTAGCTCGTAAACCTTTCACTCCCAAGGTCCGCGTAGTAATAGTCCTTCAGCTGATCAGGCTTTAGTTGTCCCTTGTAGACAACAGTTCTGCACACAAGGAAACAAAATTACTTAATATTTTAATCAACGTGACAAGAATATAATACTCAACTAAAGTAACTACATACCTGGAAGATAGAGAACATATGTAGAAATCCTTCATGGCACCATGTTCAAGGTTCAACGCTGCTCGGATAGCAACCATGGAAAGCCTTCTAAGGATATACATCTATCAAGCATAAAAAGTGTCATTAACACCATCTCACTAAGAACAAAAAGTATAAGTTGGAAGTAAAACAATACCTGTTGCTCAAGGTCAGCTTGGGATTTAGTGGTGGGAGTAAGGAACACTTGCTCGATGATCGGTTCTGTCTGCAAAGCAGACTTCCCCAAACCAGAGTTATCAGTAGGAACTGGTCTCCATCCAATAACTGAATGTCCAAGTGATTCAGCAACCTGAACCATGAAAGTAAAAAAAAAAAAAATTGTTCATCAAGCTCCTAAGAAAATTTTATACACAAAAATTAAAACATGGAAAAAAGAGACAAACCTTGGTGAAAACACTTTTGCTTTCATCTCTCCTTGACTCAGCGGTTGGTAAGAAGAACATACCAACAGCATACTTGCCAGCCGGAGGAAGCACGAAACCAAGATCTTTAGCAGCCTGATACATCAAAATATTTCATATTTATTTCAGATATTTCTACCAAACAAAAAGACAAATGTTTTGGCTTATATCCAAATCAGAATCTATAATTTTTTGGTTAAAAGCAAAGTAGTTTTTAGCATCATGTTACATCAAAGATTTCAAATATATTTCAGATAATACTAGAAAACAAAAAAAAAACAAATACTTTGGCATATATCCAAATCAGATTCTATACAAACCAATTAATTACTTTGCTAACAAAAAAAAAAAGTAAAAGTAATTTTTTGCATGGATAAATAAAAAGATTATTCTTGGGGGTTAAGGAACACAAACCTCAGCATAGAATTCATGAGGCATACCAACAAGAATCCCAGCGCCGTCACCAGTATTGCTCTCACACCCACAAGCACCTCTATGAGTCATCCTTATCAACATCTCCAATGAATCAGTCACCTGAAAAATTAAATTTTAAAAAATCAAAATAATATTATGTTATATTAATCACATCACATGAATCAGTCATCTAAAATTAAAATTCAAAGTCAATTACTTAAAATATCACATGAGAATTTAACGTAATTAATTCAGATCATTTTTTTCTTTATTACAGAACAGTAAACGCTACCGTTTTACGACTGGTCTCCCCGGACAGCTCCGCGACAAAACCGACTCCACAAGAATCTTTATCAAACGAAGGATCGTAGAGACCAAGAGGCTTCTCCGGAACACCGGAGAACGACGATCTCACCACCGTCCTCAGCTTCGGCGACCGTCCTGGACCGTCCGATCTCCAGAGCTGAAGCGTGTCGGATCCGGATCTCCTGATCCGTGTCCCCACGAAAGGCTTCTCAGGATTCTTCACGGAGCATCTTCCTGTTCTGCGGCTGACGCCAGACGCGAGGCACAATTGAGAAACAGAGGTGGAGTCTCTCCGAAGAGATCGGGCGGGAAACAAGCGGTTGTTTCGGATCTGTAGAAGGGAGCTTGAAGAAGCTGCCGACATTTTTTTTTTTTTCTCTCAAGAAATCAACAGTGAAAGTTCTTTTTAAAAATCAGATTCGTTTGTTCTTATGAATATCACGAAATGATTTTATGTTAACAAAAAAAAAGGAACTGATGAGATGAAAAGACTCAGATCAGTCTCTTGGGAGCAAGGCGGCAGAGAGGGAAGGGGGGAGGTGGCGGCTAGGGGGAGAGAGTTTTTGTGAGTTTTTGCTTTGCTTAGGTATTATATTTATAGAGGAGAGAGAGGCTTGTGGGAGAGGATTTGTTCAGCTTTTTTTCCTATTTAAAATTTTTTATTTAATTCCAGCAGGTTTTTTAGTTATTATCATATTATGTATGTTTCTTATTATTTTAATATTTTTTTATTTTTTTTGGTGTTGGTACTCTTGATTCTCTTGCCCATGAAATTATAAGAGAAAATAATAATGTTAAGTTCCATGTAACTATAGTAATGATATGTTTCCTGCTTTTTATTTTCGAAGATTAAGTTACATGTAACCATATAACATAATATATTTTCTTCTTTTTGATATTATTTGAAACATTCGTAATATATTTTTTTACAAAATTGTTACATTTTAAAAATACTTTAATTATGTTTAGATTATTTTACTAATTTAATATTAGTTCAGATATATATATATAATGTTTAGATTAATTAACATTAATATATTTTAAGATACTCTTGCAATAAAAACACGCATAATCTAGAAAGAAATTTAGAAAAGAAGCAATAATGGTATCATATCAAAATTTTCCAAATGTACAAAAATAATAATTAAATGAAATTATTTTAATAATGGATAATTGCGACATTTCAGTATATGTGTGGGGTATAGTTGAAAATAAAATTATATATGTGCGTGTGTGGGACTCAGTAGTGAAGGTTACGTGTATGTGGCACGAGACAACCGCTTACTGTGGGTTCCACCGTAGATAATACTACCCACGATGGCTGCTTTCAGGTCTGAGTTTAGGGTTAATACAAAAATTAATCGGCTACGAGCCTCCGCAAATACGCGGTTAATTTGTTTTTAACAGTTGCAGATAATGATTGATGCGCAGGGTCAAATATTGACACCTCATTTTTGTCGGGGTTAAAACGTAATTATCTAAATTAATTAATTAAAGAGAGATTTATTTGTTAATTTCGTTGGTTCGTAGTCAAGCTTCGGTTGTAAATGTAAAAACTAGTAACGGAAAGTGGATCATTGTTCCGTGGATATGGAACGTGACGCTATTGATGACGAATCATTTTTGTTGATTTGAACCGCACCCAGTTTATATATTTTAAATTCCGTATGCGGCCAACTGTATAATGTGACTCATAATAAGCATAATTTTACAACGTTAATTAACTGTTATCACTAATAAAAAGGGTAAGAACATTAAGTTTTAGATTTCCAAACTTATTTGTTATATTAATACTCGTGGTTTAGTTACGTAATTATGTGAGCGTTTTGCTGTCTCACTAGTACACAGCTTTAAAATTTGTTATTTATTAGTCATCGATCTTTATAGTAGACTCATGAAATTTTAGTTGTTGTTTCAGTCGGGTTTTCTTTTCTTTTTGAGTCGCTTATGTAAACCTCACTCAAAAATCTAAATTTAATATAAGATCAAACAATTTACTAAACAAAGATAAAATTGTGTGTTTGTCAAATCTAACCGTATGGCTATTTGAACCATTTTTGGTAGATTTTTTTAGTTGATCATTTTGTTATTAATAAAAAAAAATTTCTCCTTTTTTTTTGCTATATGTGATTGACACACGCCAGTACCAAAACGTACATATTCTTAAATGGTTAGAAATCTCGAATAAATAGTTTTAGCATAGAAAATCTTAATATATATACATATATATATATATGTATATGTATATATATATTAATATTAGTATTTAATTGTGGAATTGTTAATTTTATAGAGAAACTCAATAAAAATATATTAAAATAAATTATTTCAGTTGAATATTTCATAAAATTAAAAATCTCACAGTTAAATACACATTTTGAGAACTCAGATATTAGGACCCACTATTAAGATTGTTTTTACAGATTTGACTATGGTGAGCACAAGGTGAACACAAGTCAAGTACTCACAATTTTTGGCTTACTTGATACTAAGCTTGGTTTGTTCAAGTAATGAAATTTTAGACTTGTATTTGGTTTATTAAAAATGAATATTTACACTTTCAAGTATTTGCTAAAAATGATATATTTACAAGTATTTATCTACTACTTGTTACTTCTGAACTAATTTATAAATTATTATTATATAATTATTTATAACTTATTTAATAATATTTTATTAGTTTTAATTACTTGAACCTTGAATATGAATTTAAAAAAACAGTTAGTTATAATTCTAATCTAAACAACTTTAATAAAGAATATTTATTTAGTTTCATATGTTTAGGTTTATATATGATAAATGTAAAAAAAAATAAAAAACTATAAAATATTTCTATAATATATCATTTTAATACATTTGTCATATAAATAAGTAATTTAATTATAATTTAGAGATTTTTTGTTCAAAAGTAAAAATGGGTAATAAGTCAAGTAATGAGTCACGAGTAACAAGCCAATAACGCTAAGTATTTGTTTTTATTTTAGTACTTGATACTTGTCTTGTATTTGCAGGTAATTAAAATTAACAACTTGATACTCAACTTAAACAAAATGAGTACTCAATTTGAAAAACTGAGTACGAATCAAGTAGCGAGTCAAATAGAGTAGTAAGCAATTGTGTCCATCCCTACCTATATTTGACTTTGAGATCTCGCTAGAACAAAATGCGCCACCATAAGTATATTGAATTCAGATTAGAAAGAAGAAGAACAATAGAAAGTCTTTAGTTTAATTTTTGAATAAAAAAATCATGGCATGGGACATAAAGTTGTATTTTTATATATTCTTTTTCAAATACTGGTGCTACAAACGAAATCATGTAATCTAGTACTCTTTCTGTTTTAATTTAGTTGTCGTTTTGAATTTTTGAACACAGATTAAAAAATATTTAATTCTACATATTTTATAGAAAAATAAAAATATATATATCTCTAATCACATTTAAACCAATAGGAAAATAGGAAAGTAAAAAAGTTACTAAATTTTGCAGTAAAACCATAGAACGACACTTATTTTAAAATGAAAATTTTATTTTATAACGACAACTAAATTAAAACAGAATGAGTACTATTTTGCAAAATGATGATTAATCAGAATATATGTTCATAGATTATGTGTTGTGTCAATATGAGCATTTGTATATGAGAAACGATTCAAACAAAAAAAACATTTTAATGCCTTCAACAGGTTGTCATTTACATTTATTCTTATACAGTTATACCTTTTCCAAAAATATATGCTTGATACTATTAAACTATACTCCTATATGTTACGTGGAACCGTGTAATTCGAGATACACTTACAAATTCTTTATTAGGTTTGTTAATAACAAAAAAAATGCAAGATTTTAATTCGATGGGTTGACTATCAAAATTAAATCAGTTAGAGCATGTACATTGAGGGTTCATAAGAGATTTATAAGGGGGTTCACACAGTTTTCTAGATGAACAGTGATAAACTTCTCTCTTCAAAAGTTCATCCCGATGAACTCCAAGAGGGTGGAATTTACCACGTGTCGGAAGAAGATTGGTTCAATTAATTTACTTTTTATTTTTTAAAATCTGACAAAAAGAAAAATAATAATAAAATATTATAAAGATGAACCCCAAGAGGGGTTCATTGATGTACATGCTCTTATAAACGTAAAATGCGGCTTTTACCAAGAATGAAATCTCTCGGCGTGTTTTCGACAATCAGTTTGAATTGCTTTTCGCTAATCTTATGCATACTAATAATCAATCTGATTATTAACTTCTAAATAAATTAATATGATAAGATATTCATCCAAACATTAATTTTGACGATACAATATGAAACACACAAAGTTTTTTTATATCAATTCTGCCACCAACCACATGTCAATAAAATGTTAGGTAGGTAGAACAAATGGTGATGCTAACACCAAAATTAAAAAGGTGACTAGTTGATATCTAGAAATAGTTAAAGAGTTTTTTGATCAACAAATAGTTACACAATAAGTTTTTGATTTGCATTGTTTTCTATGAGATTGATAAATCATCATTTCTATAGTAGCATATAATTAAATGATTATATCATTTTAGAAGAGATATTTTATATAACTATGTTTTATCATATGCCAAAATCAAGCTTAATTCCTATAGTTTGTGCAAAATCAGAGATCTTATCATTAAAACTTTGAAGCAATTTAATGAAAGTATATTAAACTGAGTGTTTCAAAAATTTAAATAAATAGCAGTAGAAAGATATTATTTAATAAGTGAATATCTCAAATGTTAAAATGTTCATCCAAAAAGAGTTTACAAATTTTCATATGATTTATCTAAGTAAATATTCCAAATGAGATACTTATAAATTACTTAACTATTTTTTGACAAAGGAAATAAGAAACAAAAAATTGAACGATAAAACTTTAGAGTGGATATCTCAATATTTTAAATATAATTTTTATTCTTTTGAGATCTTAGAGAAGATGATCTTACTATATAACTAATTAACCCTCACACTTGAAAAGAGGTGAACTCTGGTCACCAACACCTTAAGTGCTTTTTTTTTTTTTTTGTAACACATCTTAAGTGCTTTTAGACGTTAAAAATAACACTTTAGATTCATATACAAACAAATGCCGTAATATGGCTATAACTTGGTCTGGTCGGAGGTAAGAATAAAATTATCCGACAAGCGGTCGACGAAAGGACCAAAGAGGTAAGGCAAAGTAAGCGATGAAGAGAAAGAGTTCTTAACTAAAACGGCCAGATGGATCTATCGACCTGTCACGTTATGGGCAAAGATTTTAGAAAGGCAAAATCAAATGTGACCATTCCTAAGATTCTATCCACCTCACCAGTCTTACTCTACTCCACGACAACTTTTATGACGTCGCTCC